GCTAAAAATATGAAACCCGACAAACCGCTCTGCATCTTCCTTAGGAGGGGACAGCCTGCTCAGGAATGTCCCTGCCATGCACTCCACGATGTATGGGCACACTGCTCAGCTCCTCAGGTCTCCAGCACACGTTAGCACAGGGATCAACAGGAACTGTCCAAGCTCGCTGGTCAAACACTGCTGTGAAATTCAGGCTGTTTTCTGTTGATTTACTTGCCATGATTTCCAGAGACGGTGATAATTTGTAAGTTATTTAATGGTTGAGAATGTAGCAATCTCAAGACATTTGTAATTTAAGTGTCTCCAGGAAGTTTTAAACACAGCAAAAACCACAGAAGCAGCCTGGGATGAAGTTTCTTTAACACCACTTGTACAGTAATTCTGCTTTCTGCCCGTTGGGCAGTGGAGAGCTCGGGCTGTGAGCATGGGCAGCCTCTCCCTGTGCTGAACCTGAGGATGTCTCCAAGGTGCTTATTGCCCTTCAGACAGAAACAGCATTTTAAGATGTGTTTAACTGCTCCTTGAACTATCCCTTGTCGTCCTGGGAAGCAGTACCATTGCTTGCAAGGTTTATTCCAGTTGCTCAGGTACATTGCAAAGCCTCCCCCTGTGCTTGCTCACCCCCAGGCTGTGCAGCCAGAGTGTACCAGAAGTATCTCTGCTTATGACTTTGTAGGAGAACCAGTGCTACAAGCTTCCTGAGGACAGGCTGCTACTCCTGGAAGAGATGCCATTAGGCACAGAGTCCTTCATTAGGCCTGATGCTGTCCTGATGATAACAATCTCCTTTGTCTGTCACCGGTCAGTGGGGACCATTGCACTCTATGTAGGATGTTGTCTCACTCTGTGAGGGGTTTCCAGTCTTAGGCTGTGTTTGCTTGTGACTAATGTTGCTAAAACTCCTGATAGCTTTTCCCATGTCTTGTGTGAAGGAACCTATTCCCAATTGTTTCCATAGCAGTAGAGATGCAGGCTGTCATTTGCAGGAAGAGCTCATGATTTTTCCAAGGACATGGTAGAGGTGCCTATGTTTTTGGAAGTAGCAAATGCTTGGGACATTGGTTTTGAGACCCAGGAGGAAGTACCTTTCATTTTTTAAGATTCATTCTGGAGCACTTTTGAGTACCCTGTGGAAAATGCTGCACCTCATTGTGACCCAGCACCAGTTGTCCCTCATGCCTTTATTCTTTGAAGTCACAAGCTTGAGGCAACACTGCTGAGCTTCATCTCAAGCAGCAAATAACTTGCTCTGACAGTCTTTCCATGGAGGTGTCTGTGGTGCTCTCCTACTTGGGAGGTAGCCCATTTCATTTTCACCTTTCAGACATCTACTTGGTCCAAGTTCTGTTATTTACATGATTGGCCTGGCAAGCCCCACACAGTTTTTTTGTGTCCTTGGCTGAATTCCAGGTTGGCCAGTGCTGAGCATGTGCTCTTTCAGTGTGCCCTGGCCACCATCTTCCTTTGTTCCGTGTGGTTTCTTGAACAGAGTACATGTCACAAAGGTGAAGTAACCAACCCTGCTTATCCTTTCAGCTAATGCTTTCAGCTCCCACCTCCAGAGCCACCTGCCACATGTCCCTTCACAGCTCCTTTCAGTACAAATCCCAAGTCCCTGGAGATGCCATTCCTTTGCTTCTCACTTGTGTTGGTGTGGCTCTGATCCTTAGCACGGAAATCAAGGGAGACTCAGGTCTTCCCTTCATCAAGCATAGGACAGTTGTCTCTTCCACATCCACCTCAGTCCTCTCCTCCATCCTAAACCTCAGTTCAGCCTTTCCCTCCTTAGCCCACACTGCTTATCTTCACAGCCACTTGCCTGCTTCTTCCCTGGTTGGGCTTGCTCTTTCTTACCCTTCTGCATATGACGTGCCCTCCAACTCACTCACTTGAGCACACAGCTTTTGTCCTTCACAGAAAGCTCACTCGCAGTGGCCCCAGAGGAGAGCCAGGCTGTTTTCTATCTCATTCCATGCCTGGAGCAGGCATGACTGAGCACTGAGTGTACTCTCCACACTCTTCCTTCTTTTCTCTGTATGTTTGTAAGCAAAAGATCCTGGAGAAGATGGCCTTTACTTTGCTGAAGATGAAGGGTAATTTTGTATTTATTTCCCTATCGGGCAGGTTCTGAGGAACGTCTTGTCATGCTGGCTCTTTTGGAAAGCCAGTAAGGTGGAGCTACTTGTTTAGCAGCAGGAAAATAATCAAAAACTGTTGGAGATTCCTGGAAGGGCAGCAACAAGGGTTGATCAGAAACTCCACCACATGGCAGGCAGGACCAGTAGAAGGGGTGTAAATGCCTTTTGTTCTCCTTGGGTGCTCCTCCATCTGCTTCAGCTGTATGTAACAGCCCTTTCATGTTCTTGATCTGTACACACAAACCTGGTCATTTCTGTGGAAATGTGGATCTTTGCCCTGTTTCCTCTGTGTACTGCTGACCTCCACTCAGAAAAGGAGGGAAAAAATAATAAAAAAAATTAATTAAAAAATTAATAATAATAATTTATTTTTTTTTTAAAGGAGCTTTGGTTGTATTCATTTGCACGCAGCAGCAAATGCTGAAGGTCTTCTGAGGCTGTTCTTAAACCCATTTTACAAGCCATGAAGTAGAGAGAGCTTGGGAGGTGAACATGCAGCCCCCCTCCCCCCCCTTAGATTCCAAAAAATGCACGGTACTATGTAAAAAGTGGCAGCAGATTTGCCAGCCGGTTGCAGGGCAGTGGTCACAGGGATCAGGAGCCGCGGGGGCTGCAGCCCCTTCCCACAGCTCCAGCGCCGCGTTCCCGCTTCCAGGGGGGTTTTCTTGTTTCTGCCTGTTCGTGCCATCCTCATCTGGTGACCCCTTAATGACCCCCCCTCCCACTTTGCACCGCATCTGCTGTGCCCACATGCATAGGCAACACTTACAGATGCCTTTTGAAAGTATAACAGCAAGAAACTAGGGGAAAAAAACCCCACAGACATTATGTCTAAACTGCTTCTTTGCGTTGTGTCTCACCTGGTTATTACCATGCACCTTTAAGCTACAAAAGTGCTATGAGAGCTACACTACTTCTTTAGGATCACTCCCAAAGTAGCAGCAGGAACAGAAGGGACAGAGGGATCTGTGCTGTGAAGTAGTTCCCATAGGGAAGACCCTACTTACCACAGCCCAACAAGCAGGATGCTTCAGTGGACACTGGGGGAGGGCTTCAGTTCCTGTGCCCGTAGGCACCAGGGCATAACATCAGGTACCACCATGAAGAAGAAACTAGCCCATGCACTCTCACTGGGTATTATTTCTAACTACCAAGAGGACAGGGGAAATCCAGCTTCTCCAAAGGATTCCCTTTCTTAGCCTACTCTGGCTTTTAGCAGTGCAGAGACTTCCCAATTGTTCTGGGTTTGACCACAGCTCCAAAGAGCATTAAATGATATACTCCTCAACATGACTGCCCAAAGTCAAGACACAATTCCCTCCAAACCTATGTACAAAATCTTTTTTTCTGTCTGCCTTTAAATGTTTCCTGCTGTACTTGTTCAACTGCCTGCCCCAGTGACAGTGAACCACTGTAAAACCCAGATGTCAGAGCTGTGCTCTGGCTCTGTGTGTTGTGATGCAAATGTAACCAGCATCACCACCAATGTCAGCATTCACGGACACCCCTCTGGACCACAGCACACATGCCATCAGTCTGTGCTCTGCTTCTTTGCTCAAGCTTCAAGTTTGTTGTAAAGGAGACTATTCCCATGTCCCCTCTCCCAGCCTGTCTCTCATGATGGTTTGAGGAGGTCTTGTCTTCCCTGTTGCTTTTCATGCATATGCCACCATGGTGCCACTCTGCATGTGCGTGTGCAAATAAACATGCACTGCCAGGGATGGAGTGAAAAAAATCAAGAGAAAACTAGCCCAGATACTGACATGGGTTAATGTTTGCTCATCTAAAATTCGTAGCAGGACCTGATGCATGCAAGTACATTTACTGGGCAGTCCCTGCAGCTGAAGACACCTACTGCCACAGCAGCTGCATGAGAGCTCTGTCAGCCGGGACAGTCACATCTTCCCTGGGCCTCGCCAGCCACTGATGATGAACAGGCTGAGCAGGCCTGGCAAGGGCAGATGAACCACACTGCGACACAGCGGGCTTGAGATACATTTTATTGGCAATACCAGTGTCATGCTCAGGAACCACAACCCTTTGTCAGACTATTAGCGTTAACTCGCATGACAAGTATCAGTGACCAACTGTATTTGAAATATAGCAACAGTGCCTAGAAGTAATAGGCAACTTTAAAAAAAAAAAAAAAAAAAGGGGAAAGGAAACTCACTCGGTCCACTCAAGCCAACCTTTATAGATCTTACATCTTAAGCACGACTGATGTACTGTAATTGTTATGTGGACTTGAAGGTAACCTCTACAGCAGCACACAGACAATGCAGTTCTCTCATTATGCACATGCTTTAGGATCGTTTATTTTAATGCTTTCAAATAAATATGTTCCATGCAGCACACCGCAATAAATAAGGAACAGCAACTTTCGTATAGTACATCCATTCATAATGTAAGTCACCATGTGAAACACCACATCTAAAGTCCTTGGCCCAGTCCCATACAGTGAAGCACACCACAGCTGCACATAATCATATCTGGCTTCATATGGATTTAATAGGACTATGCCAGAAGGGCAATGTGAGCACAAGTTTAACCAGGGGTTCCTAGCTATTAAATACAGCTACTAAGTAGTTAAAAGGCAACAACTAAACCCATAAAGGGTTGATTTGTCTTTTCTTTCTTACTTTTCAGACAGAAATACAAAGTATGAAAATGCTCTGGATATTTTCAGCCGTGTGTAAAGCAGCATGATTAACATGGAATGCTCTGAGCAATACTGGCAGGTACACTGGCATCAAAAGCCACAGCGAGACCGACTCTGACACTGGACACTGGCGTGCTCGGTGGGGAAAGCTGCTGTTTGGGCGGCAGGCACTGCTCCCTCTCCTCCTCTTCCTCCTCTTCCTCCTCCTCCTCCTCCTCTAGGCCGAGAGCTCCACCGCCCCTTCCTCTTCGCTGTCGGCTCGGTTGGCGCGGATCTCCACCAGGGTCCGAGCGAAGCGGGTCCACTCGTCGTTGTGTGGAACAGCCAGCTGGAGGAGAAACCAACAGGGAATCATAGAATCATAAAATCATAGAATCCTAGGGGTTGGAAGGGACCTCGAAAGATCATCTAGTCCAACCCCCCTGCCAGAGCAGGGTCACCTAGAGAACATCACACAGGAACGCATCCAGGTGGGTTTTGAATGTCTCCAGTGAAGGAGACTCCACAACCTCCCTGGGCAGTCTGTTCCAGTGCTCTGTCGCTCTTACGGTAAAAAAATGTATTTGGATATTCACCTTGAACCTCCTATGCTCCAATTTGCACCCATTACCCCTTGTCCTATCACTGGTCATCACTGAGAAAAGCCTAACTCCATCTCCCTGACACTCACCCCTTACATATGTGTAACCATTGATGAGGTCACCCCTCAGTCTCCTTTTCTCCAAGCTAAAGAGACCCAGCTCCCTCAGCCTTTCCTCATAAGGGAGATGTTTCACTCCCTTAATCATCTTAGTAGCTCTGTGCTGGACTCTTTCAAGCAGTTCCCTGTCCTTCTTGAACTGAGGGGCTCAGAACTGGACACAATACTCCAGATGCGGCCTCACCAAGGCAGAATAGAGGGGGAGGAGAACCTCTCTTGACCGACTAACCACACCCTTTCTAATGCACCCCAGGATGCCATTGGCCCTTGGAATTGGGAGATGGGTCATGTTTCTGGCCCAAAACAGAGGCACCTCCTTTGCGGGGTGCTCCTGTCACCACCCGTGCGGCTGCACCTGGTGAAGGACCCATGGGCTCACCCCAGGAAGCCGATGGGTTGGTTACTTCTAGAGCTGCAAAGTGCTGCCAAGTTGCCAGGACAACTCTGGCAGCCTCCTGTTCAGTACCAACTGGCAGGAACTTTCACCACCAGTGGCAGAGAAAACAAAAAAGCTTTATCTGCTGGATTTTAAGACAAAGCTTTTTACCAGAGTGTCGTTGCAAAATCTACCTCTTGGTTGAAATATTGCAGATTTTCCAAACTAAAGTGAGGCCCTGATCTCTACAAATACATACACGTATGTTTAACTGTACACATGTGAGCTGGCCATTTGAAGTCAGCCAGGCTGTGCCCAAGTGTAACTGTTTGCAGAACTGAGGTCAATGCACACACGGTAACAGAGCTTTTACAACACTGCGTTGAAACTATTTTCCTGAAGTTCATTAAAGCACTTAATAGTAAAACAAATATATTGTGTTATTTTAGCTACCCTCCTCTACGTTAAGGAGTTCACAATTACATTATAATGGAAATGTTATACCAACTGGATACTGCATTACTGGTCTGATTTTTTTATATCAACATACAAGATCCATTTCCATTAATACCACTGATGTTTCTAATGAAGAGCTCTTGAACATAAGGCTTGAAGAGGGATGAATAATCTAAATAGCTAAGCTTCCAGAGAAAATGCTATAGTGCTATGGCAAAATAATACTGCAGTGGATCCAACACTGCACATTCTGAAAGACAATGCAAGCTAGGATTGAGATGTTTTTTAATTTTATTTTATTTTTTTTAATTAAAAAAAGCAGTAAGCACTTTGAGAAAACTTTGTTTTCATTAACACAAATTCCAGAAAACAGCAACAAGAATCCAGGTGAACCATGCATATTTTTACTGTTCTTCAAAGTCCTTTGATCATGTCCTGAACATAATATGAGAAAAAAACTCCAAACCTGTTTCAGAATGTTACGCAGTGCTTGGTACTGAAGAAGGCAGTGCCTTCAGTACCCTGAAGAATGGGTGCCTTTAGACTAAAGAATGAGCATAATCTTAGCTAAGCCGGTTTGTGGTACCCAATATTCAATCTGTACTGACATTTATTTTAAAACACCACCAAAAATGCTATGCAGGTGGTTGGCTAACTACGTCAAATTGGCACTAGCAGATGATAGGTGCACATGAGGCTGCACGGTACACGGTACTGAAACAAAGTCAAATTATTCCCCTCTTCTTACATCCCAACAGCAATCCATGTAACTAGAGATCTGTGACATGAATTACAAAGGACAGCTGAGGAAATAGCATGTGTATATGCCCAACATGAACCATGTGTGAAAGCCCCATGTACACTGCTGCAAGTTCAGTGTTAGTCGTATGGACAGGAATTTGCAGTACTGGATCTGAATATTTCCTCCCTTCAAGGAGTTTTTCAAATACTTTGTATCTAGCTTTGCCCCTACAATATTTAAAGTGTGTTTTAAAGCTTGCCAAGCACAGTGAATGTATCATTTATTTGGTTACACCAAGAAGGGCTGGTGTGCAAGTTTGCTTTTTGCCTCTTGAAACACTGAACATAGTACAGTTCAGCACTTACTGAAGCTGCAGACCAAGACATGCAATCCATGTTAAAGCCATCTCCACCCCCAAAAATAGGTGCTGCTGCACTCTGGGGTTTCCCTTCATTGTCTTCCACTTTCTGCATTTTTCTCCTTTCCCTGAGAACAGAGACCAGACTTACAAGAGTAAATAATTTCAGACAGCTGTCTCTCACACTCAAAACGCACAGGTGTGGATCTGTTATGGTCTTTATTTGAAAGACAGCTCTGCTCTTTCAAAAACCTTCAGCACAAGGAAATGTAACACCAGAATGGAGGTCAGTGCACCAACACTCAAGTACCTGTAGCATGGGTTTGGTCACAAGCACACACCTCTACAAGCTGCTGTGTACTAAGCTAAGAGACAGTGCAGAAATCCTTCAATCATAGCGGCAACCAAAACCAGCAGTTACCAGTTACTACTGCTTGTGTCCTAAAAGAGTTTATTTCTTGTGATGTGGATGGCACTATCATTTATCAAACTCTTGAATGAAAACATGAGATGAGCAGCACTTATTTCAAGTAGTAAAATCATTAAAGTGGAACAATTTCCTAGGCAAAAGACTGACTAAACTTAATAAAGCCTCCTTTCTCCTTGTTTTTTAAAGTCCTAAAAGCATTACACTGTATTAAACAGCTGAAGAAGACAATTTGTCATTCTAAAGAAAAAAATTGTATGTATTTATGTGATCGGATAATTTGATTTCCTTTACTCCACAGCATGGTCACAGACAAATAAAATCAAAGTCCAGCCTATTAAAACAACTTGGTATCTCAGACTTGAAGAGCCTCACCAGAAAGGTATGCATGACGTGCAGTACTGTCAGCTGGCATTGTTTGAAAGACCTGGGCCATTTTTAATGACTCAGTTCACAAAACAGTTAATGACTGAAGTGAATACCTTTAGCACAGAGATTAATACATTCTGTGTCCACACACAATCTAGTTACTTAAAACTTCATCTTATTTTAAGTTATTTAATCTCACACACTCCATCATGCTTTCAACAAGGGACCAATCCTGCTAATAGACTGTTAGTAGGATAAACCTCTCTAACATAAACTCCTCAGGGATGCACAGGGAAAGCTTGGTAACAATAAAGTCAAAGGAAAAACTGACTTCTATTCCCCCACACTTCTTTCTGTGAAGGCCCAAATATCAAATCACAATAGTTACACAGCAAAAGACCACAAATAAAACCAAAAGTATCCACAAACTCCTGTTTGGAGTCAGGATACTCCTAATTGTCTGAATCAATGTTCCCCTTCCAGTTATTTTCCATTCAAGTTCCTTCAGCTGGGCACACTGACCACCTGCAAGTGCTGGAGGCCTGGGTCTTTCTGTGAAATCTCCCTCTCAGCTTCTCTGCACAAGATTTTTCTACAAATACCAGAGGGGGAAGAAATGAGGAGACAGTTTGCAGAAGGGCTGAGGTTTAGAGCTATTTGGGTGTTCTTCACTCACCAAAACTTGGCATTTTTGCATTTTAATGTCCAGTTCTAGTTAACTACAAAGCAGCAGGTGTTGAATCCCAACAGTCATGATGTCGACGCAGGATAGAAATGTTCACCAAAGCATAATAACTTAATACAATAACTTGTATTAACATTTGGGTCAGAAGTTTATTTGAGTGACACTATGGTATGGAGGACAACAAGAAAATAAACGCTATTAAGTGCTCTCCTTTGATCCCTTCACAACAGAAGGTAAGTACTACCCACACCTAATTAATTGACTGAATTACTCACACTGCTTTAACTTAAATACCATGGTACATGTAGGTTCTGTCAGATAGTCATTTTAATGAGGAAAACCAGTATTATCAAAGCAAGGTGGTGACTTTAGCATAACTTTGTCTGTTAAGCTGTTGGAAGAGGGGCATTTTTCACAGAATTATAGAATGGTTTGAGTTGGAAGGGACCTTAAATGTCATCCAGTTCCAAACCCCCTGCATGGACCCAGTTGCTCAGAGCCACATCCAACCTGCCCTTGAACACTTTCAGGGAGCTGGCATCAAAAACCTTCCTGGGCAATCCGTTGCAGTGTTTCACCAACCTCACACTAAAGAACTTCCTCCTAATGTCTAACCTAAATCTCCTCTGTTCTGGTTTTAATCCATTACCCCTTATCCTCTTGCTACATGTCCTCCCCAGTTTTCCTGTAGGCCCCTTCATCCTACAGCCTGTAGGCCACTATAAGGTTTTACTGGAGCCTTCTCTTCTCCAGCCTGAACAGCCCCAACTCTCTAAGCCTGTCTTCATAAGAGAGGTGCTCAAGCCCTCAGATCCCCTTCGTGGCCCTCCTCTGGACTTTCTCCAGGAGCTCCATGTCCTTCTTACGTTGGGGGCTCCAGAACTGGACACATTACTCCAGGTGCAGTCTCATGAGAGCCAAATAAAGGGGGAGAATCACCTCCCTTGACCTTCTGACAATGCTTATCTTGATGCAGCCCAGGACACAGTTGGCTTTCTGGGCTGCAAGTGCACTTTGCTGGCTCCTGTTGAGCTTCTTGTCCACCATCACCCCCAAGTCCCTCTCCTCCAGACCCTTTTCAACCCATTCTCCACCCAGCCTGTATTTGTGCTTGGGATTGCCCAGGCCCAGGACCTTTCACTTGGCCTTCACTTGCAGTTTCCCAAGCACACTCCTCAAGCCTGTCAAGGTCCCTCTGGATGGCATCCCTTCCAT